TTTACGCTGTTATGCACAGAGATACTCTGGAAGTAAATGAGACATCGGGATTATTTATGTTTGTTCACGTATTAAACAAATTTTAAAAAGTATCACAAAATATAGAAAATCACAAAGAAAACAAAGAGACTATCTATATTCATCGATATCTATGTTGGTCATAGTTGGGAAACGCAATTTTTTTCGTGACAGAAGGACGATACATTTACATATAGCTATCATGTATACACAAACAGCCTTTGATTTTTCATAATTTTTATTGTTGAAAACAATAAGTTATCGGATTAAATTATAAAGAAAAAAAGTTATATTATAGAATACATAATAATTTTTCCAAAGTGCATCCTTTTGCAACAAAAAATCATAAAGATATTCGTTAAAATTTCGCAGTTTAAACTCCATTTTCGTTGTAGCCCGGTAAAAAATCAAGCCTAAAATCATGTATTCTTAATATTCAGATATTTATTCCACCGGTTATGGGTGCTTTTTGATGATTTCAGACCGGCAACCCTTTGGTAACAGGATTTCAAAAATAAAATTGGCCTAAAAATCATAATTTTTTTTTGTTTAAATTGCATTTTCTGATAGTTAATTTTTTAGAATATTGTTATGGACACCATAGAAAAAGGCAGGTTTTAAACTTTCTTTCAATTTTTTCAGGGACGAATAGGGAAAGTTATGAATCTTCAAATAAACGCGTGATAGAAAGGCCGTGAGCAGTGATAGCGACTAATATGGCAGAGCTGCCTCGTAGCAAAAACCGGTTTTAATGCATGGTGATGTTTCAGAACTCATTTACTGAATGTATCGAATTGAAAACGCCGCGGTCGGTGAACAGTCTCGCTTTCACTGCTGCGCTCGAAGAGTTGATTGTTTTCAGGTAGGAGACACCCGAGTATATTGTTAGTGATGATGCGAAGGTGTATTAAAGTAAGATATTTTAGAATAGATTGCAGGAATATGGTATAAAATATTTACTTTGCCCCGCATATAATCAGCAAAGTGACCCTGTAGAAAGCGTTAATCGGACTTTGAAAACGATGATAGCGATGACGTAAACGCCGATCACAGAAGCTGTGATAGGCATTTCCATGAATTTCGTCATGTTATAAACACTGCAACTCAGGCTTCTACTAAGGTATCATCAGCGTTTCTTAATTTCGGCAGAGATTCGCAACTAGTAAAGGGTTTAAGGTGCGAGATAAATGTAAAATCACGAGTAGTTAAGTTAAATACGAAAGCATGGGAAGATAAATTACAGCGTTTGAATGTGTTATGTGATTTAGTAGCCAGGAAGATCGACGATTCAAGAAAGGCAGAAGAAGTATTATGACAAAGGTAAACATCAAGTACTTTTTCAAGTAGGTGATTTAGTTTCGCGCAAGGTGCATACGCTTTTGAACGCGGCGGCAGATAGAAATACAAAGCTCTATCCGAAATACGACGAACCATTTAAAATAACTTCGCCCGAGCTTTATGAGTTAGCTACAAATAGCAAGTACCGCACGACCAGGGTTCATGTCTCCGAGATTAAGCGATACATACCGCCACGTAAAGTAAATACGTAGATTTATAAAATAAGACAGGTATAATGACATAGAAGTAGGATAAAGTAGGAAATAGGGTAGAGTTGAAAATGTTACTTTCCGGACAAACTATCAAAGTATTTATCATGCGTTATTGACATGCATTTGTAATGACCGTAACCAAATCTTTATGGCATACCGATGCATGTAGATGTATTTTCGTGCTCTTTAGAATTAAAAAAATTTTTTTTTAATTTTCCCACCTTACCTTACTTACCTCTATGTAATTTGTTTAAAGGTTTTAAGAATTTTACAGACGCTGGAAGATGTTGGCGGAGGAAACCAAAGAATGTAGTGGGCTCTCCGAGGTTATTTCGGATGAGGGATCGAGGGGCGTTTCGACCGGCATTACTACTTTCGCCAGAGGCTGTTGAGAAGATGAAGGTGGGCCAGGTGTGGAGGCCTGCAGTCTTATTTTCGGGAGAAGGCCAGGCAATCTCTAGGCGATTTAAAAAAACGGTTGCCACGGTCAGCGTGTCTTTTTCAGCCTGATGCGTGAATCGAGTGTGAAGAAGTGGACGAGATCGGCTAATTTATTTAGTCGAGAAATTGACGTCTAGGCGATTCCTCAAGGTCGACGCAAAAGAACAAGCTTTTTCCACAGCTACGTGCTTTCTCTCGGCAATGACAATATTAAGGTCAAGTTTCCCTTTTCTCTTTTTCTTAATTACATCTATCCTATTTTTTCACGCCAGCTTTTGAACTTTAATTTTAAGTTGGGAAAATTATGTAGCAAGGCGTTAAACCGCCAGCTACGTAACTTTCTTTGTTCAAGCAGCGGCGCCCTGGTGACGAATTGTCAATGAATTGTTTACACGCTGGGCAATTTGTTTTCTCTTGTTCGCGGTAGAATTGGTTAGCGATATTTATAGATAATTGCGTTACGTTAGAGAAACAAGATTTTAGTTATACAAGGTCTGTCCGGAAAGTATCGGGCCTACCTTTATATTTTCGTGCTAGCGTTATTCTTTATCATCTGGTGGGTGGCATCCTTCAAAGTAATCCCCACTTGATTGAATAACACGGTTCCATCGATTTTTCCACTTTTCAAAACAGTCCTGGAAATCACTTTTAGGGATAGCCTTAAGTACATTCGTCGCATTGTTTTCAACCGTTGTTTTGTCATCGAATCGGTGTCCTTTGAGTGGTTTTTTTAGTTTTGGAAATAGTCAAAAGTCACAAGGGGCTATGTCGGGACTGTATGGAGGTTGTCGAAGCAATGCGATATTGTGTTTGCTCAAAAACTACTGCACAAGATTGGATGAATGCGCTGGCGCATTATCGTGATGGAGAAGCCAGTCACCACTTTCCCAAAAGTGCGGCCGTTTTCTTCTTACTGCATCACGCAAACATTTCAAAATGTGAACGTAGTATTCTTTATTGATTGCCTGACCTGTTGGTGCATATTCGTGATGTATAACACCTTCACAATCTAAAAAAACAATCAACATTGACTTAACATTGCTCCGACTTTGACGTGCTTTTTTGGCCTTGGCGATTCAGAATGCTTCCACTGTGAAGATTGTTGTTTTGTTTCAATATCATAACCATAAACCCATGATTCGTCACCTGTAATAACTTTTCTAAGCATATTATCATCATTATTGACCATTTCCAGATTGTCCAGAGCGATTTCTAGGCGAATGTTCTTCTACTCTGCTGTGAGCAATTTTGGGATGAATTTCGCACACACGCGTTTCATTCCTAAATTTTCGGTTGAAATTTCTGAAATGATAGTTTTTGGTATCCCAGGGTCTTCTTCTAGTTCTCGCATAGTTATACGACGATCTTGTTCGATTGCAAGTCGCACCCGCTCAATATTATCTACGGTTTTTGTCGTCGAAGATCGTCCGGAACGAGAATCACTATCGACAGAAGTGCGACCATCCTTGAACCGTCTATACCACTCTTTTATTCGTGTTTTGTTCATACACTTGCTTTCGAAGGCCTTTTGCATCATTTCAATAGTTTCCGAACTCGTTTTTCCGAGTTAAAAGCAAAATTTGATGCAAATTCGTTGATCTTGTTTTTCAGTTATTTTTGACAATATCAAAATCCGACGAACGCGAAAAAGGCACTGTAAACAAAGACACGCTGCGCATGAACTATACGTCCGACAGGTGTGAATAAGTAACCAATAGATTCGTGAGGCTTTACTGTTGACGTTTCTGCCTGGTAGAGGTCGCTCGAACACTATGGCGCGAAGATATAAACGTAGGCCCGATACTTTCTGGACAGACCTCATATTAATTAGACATAAGATTATTTTGTTTTGGATTAGAAATAAGATTGTGAGTTCTGAATACAAACCGTGTGTTAATTATTTTGTTGGCATGTCCTCTTTTCTCTCTTTCGATTGTTGAGAGCGAAAGTACCTCTTTTATATCCCTATACAGAATTGGCGGCAAAGCGCGAAGTTTTCCTTCTTACAATTATGAAATGTGAGTATCATATTTTTTATTTCAGAAGTTAATATTAGAATGAAATTATAATTTACATAGATTTTTGCTTTGGCTATGGCAAAGAAGAAAAATTCATCTATTGAGAAACGTGGTGTAATTGTAGACCTTCATAGTTTTGTGAAAAACAATCGCTAAATCGCAGATGATCTAAAAATCTCCAGATATATTGTGGCTCAAAATGTTAATAAATTCCTTGAGCTTCGTACTACTGGAAAGAGACATCGAAGAGATGAACCAAAAAGGACATCTACAAAATAAAATAATAAGTATGTAGCTCATATTAGCTTGCGTAGTAGGCATTTAACTGCTACTGAAATTATATGTCAGATTCCAACTCATCTTAAAAAGTTCTTAATTGAAGCAACTATTAGAAGACGTTGAGAACTAAGACTTTTTGGTCGATTTGCTATAAAAAAACTTTTACTTAGAAGTTTTTTTTTTTTTATTTAATGTTGCACTATTTATGCTTCATCAGTGCTAATCAGAGACGGAGGCATGTAATGTGTTTGACAACAAAGCACATGAAACTTTTTTCAGTGGTGCTTGTATCAATTAGCAGGGACTGGGAATCGAACCTGGACCTACCGGGTGCGAGTCCGTTGCCCTACCGACCGAGCCATTGCAGGCCTCACTTAGAAAATAAATAGAAAAAATCGTTTGTTTTGGGCCAAAATACTTTTCTATCTCTCATATTTACTTAAACCTTTCAAATTCATAATACTAATTTTCAAATTCAAAATACATAATACTAATATTTAATAAGTGTTCTAAACAGCACTTGGAAAAAACTACACAAAGTGTAATTATCATAAATAAAATAAGAGAAAAGTAACGTCCAAGTGTGGAATAAGTTATTAATTGGTTATTTTATACTTTTTGTTTTGTGAAGGGTTGGTGAGAAAATTATAAACAATAGAATAAATGAATCGATAATTTTATCATAACACTTTTATGTAAAATAATCATGTATGAAGATATCTACATTTATAGTTGCACGTAATGGTCGAATTCGTTTATTCTGACAGATCAAATTTTTTGACTGATTAAAGTTGAATATCGACGAACTAGAAGTGAGAAATAATTAACTAAATTGAAAAAATGTATGATTACAAAATAATGATTGAAATTGTTCATTATATAAAACTCAATAAAAAAATGAACCAATGAAGTTTTTATATGAAAAATATTGCTGACGATAACATTGTTCAATATAACGTTCAATGTTCCTCGTTTCCAGGATTTTCTGAATCATTAGAATTCCTACCCATTCGTCTTCGAAGAGAATCGATTAATTCTGGATTTGCACTCTGCATTTGTTGAGCCAATTGCTGACCTCTGAAAAAATTATGATAAAAATATATTAATTACGAAAAATTTCTTAGTCAATTCTTTGATTTTTGCAATATTTAAATATAATATTTTACTGAAATTAAATACCCTCAGAGACGGCACATTTCAGAAAATAACGTTGTGATACGTGTTTTTCATGTATTTTTCAAGGGCAAATTGGAACTTGCTATTATGGTATTAATCGCGATTTCACGATGAAATTACATGAAAAATATATTTTTCGTTATTAAGGAAAATCTCTATCAGTTGTATCTGAGCACGAGACCTAGATTTGTAATGTACTTTTTAATCAGGAATTGAAAATTCAGTTTTCCACAATGTTATGTCCCAGTGTTTCCAATAAAACTTGCGATATGTTGTGTAACGGGGTTAATACCGTTTAATTAATTTGTGCGCGCGATCGTATCGAAGAGCGTGCGTGATTACCTACACGTTTAAACACGAAAAACCGGAGAGCAGGAGGGAACGGATGTCAGTCAACCAACTATCTACTAACACGAAATAAATACGTCGGAAATATTGTTAGTATCACAAGCGAGAACGTTTATTACCTCTTAATATTACACAGTATTCGGCCCGCGTGTTTATGTTTACATGCCGCGTGCGCGACAACAACATGCAGTGTCGGATCGCTCGCCGCTCATTGTTCGCAGAGTTATTACATGCGCCTTTCTTGTCGAGTACGAGAGATTAGTTATAGACAATTCTATCGCGATCGCGAAATTAAGCTGGCCAGCTTACCTTATTAACTCTCGCACGGGTAACAAGTAAGATGAAGGAGGCTCGTACGGCGCACGCTAGTCTTTCGGCAAATGTTTATATGTGGGCGAGGATGCCTCTCGTTCACGGTTTCGCCCCCGATGGCGAAACTCTCCACTCACTCACACTTGCATGCACACTCCGGTTGGCCGCAAAGCTATGCCACAGCTTCTCTCTTTCGTCTCTGCCTTCGGAAAAACTCGGGAAAAGGTATTTGCTGCACGGCTCTCTGATCGCACTCTCATCCTCGACTGCCTCGTTTTTATTCGCGCGCGTTCCGCCGCGTCTCGTACCGAATTCCCCCAATACATTTCGCCCCAACCGGCAGGTGCTGCCCTCGCCGGCAGCCGCATAGTTGGGCTGTTAGCGCTAATACGACGTTTGCCGTCACAGTTGATAAGTTCATTTAAATTTTTTTTATGAATACGGACCCGTTAAATAAATTGATCACAATTTAAGGGAACAAGATCTACAGCGTAAAAAATTTAATATTATGATATAAAGCATTTTGTACTTGTTTTTAGATTATTTGTATATCATATAGATGATGGTTTATTTATATTTTTATCAATTCATTATAAAGGTCCAGTATGATTTTTTTCTTTACTGCATAATGGCAATTTATAATACACCCGAAAATAGAGAAAAGCACTATCTAATCTAAGGCACTATCTCGTATACACCCTTAGGTGTGTTAGAGTACTCAATCAAATTTATTATCTTATATAGAGTATGATACATATGTTACGTCCCAAACTAGAGCAAACACAAGGCGTTGAGGTATCACTAAACGATCGCTTGTTTGAGAAAGCTTATTTCAAGGCTTCTCACATAAGGATATCTAACTACGCAGATTTGGTGCTTTTCGCAGTCACGAAAAAGTACACGTGTTTGCGACTCGCAGCTGCCTTTTGCAGAATTAACAAACATGCATAATAGCGCTCGATGTGCACTTTATGAGTATAAAATCACGAAGACGAGAGAAAGGAGAATTGCTTCCCTTTCTCTCTGTCTCCCATTCTCTCTTCTCTCTCTGTCTCTCGGTTCCCATCTAATCACTCTCTTCAATTTTTGGACCTTTCTCGGCTTCGCAAGAATCGTCGTATAAAAGGGGAAATCATTTTTTCTCGCGGTTGATTTTACAGTATGGAAAGTGGAGTGATAAGCCGAGTGAGCGGTATTGTGTATTGTCATGCCAATGAGCGATTTACATTTTTCACTATTGGGCTGTTAGGATAGGGCCGTTAGTGATGAATATTTCTATCATCTTGCGATTATAATAAAGGAAGAAAAGTGAATAAGCTTTCTTCTTCGAAATAATTTCTACAGAAATTAATTGAAAAACCTAAACTCTTCGCCAATCCCTCTTAGCTTGTGTGGTGTGCGTGACTTCAAGCGTGATAAAGTGGTGCTTCAAGCGCGCTTTACATTCGATCAACATGATTAAGAAGAAGTCGAAGGAGATTCTTCCGCCATCAGAAGAAAGGAAAGATAGGACGTAACATTATATTTATGCGAAAACTATCGTTTACTAAGTAAAATATGTAACTTTGAGCTTTTTCAATGATCAAATAAACTTTTCTAGTTGTTTTTCATGCTAGAATTCCGAATATAAACCTGTCACGTGTGTCAGTTAATTACTAACTAGAGAAATTTAATTTAACAATTACAGATTATAAAGTACAATTTTGCAATACATAATTATAACAATAATCTGAATGTAGCTAAGCGCAAATACTATTTTAAGAAAGTTAAGTAAGAATTTGATAGATTGATAATTGATTATTGCACAAAGTTATCAATAAATAAAAAATTAATAAAATTTATATAAACACTTTAAATTGCGTTGAGAAATGGCGATCTAAAACTACATTCTTTTTAAGTTAGAAAAATTCAAGCTGCTGTCAGTTTTTTCGAAAAATATCTAAGAGAATGCGTATACGCCAAGTTCTGTCATCTGTATTTTTATCTTCGTTCTTTGATAGCTTTATTTCTGATTTTATTTTTTTAAAGATTTTACGACTCAGCTGATTTTACAGTTTTACAGGCTATTAAAGGATGATTTGACCAGTAATCTCTTTGACTTTTTCTTAAATTGAAGATCGATAAAATAATTATTCTTAAAAATGTCTCCAAGTTTTGAAGAAATCACCATCATTGCATACTGTTGCTTTTATTATAAATGTCTTCAGTTCATTAGAAAAATATATTTCAAACAAGTCAGTTGATGAATAATTGCAGATCTTTTTACAAACAGATTCTGGAAGCAAAAATTCACTTCTCAACTCTTCTCTGTAAACTTTTTCACCATCCAACCATTCATAAACATAGTTTAACTCTAACTTCCTTTGATTTACTGAATAGGTATCAAGAACTTGATGATATGAAGTAATCGGAATATCATTTTCAATGAACGAGCTCAAATCAGTGTACTCATTTTCGTTTCCTAAATCTGAATAAAATTCAAAATTTTGAGAATCGTGTAAACTAGGGATTATGATAATATGAAAATTCTCGTCATTTTCTTCGATTTCAATATTATGCTGTTGATGAGAATATTTTAATCGTTTTTTTTTTGGTGGCATCTTTCCGACTTCGCATGGAAATAATACTACTATTCTTTTATAATCACATGTAATAACGCGATACATAATTACAATTTTAGTTATAGGAACAACTGAAAATCCTTTTGCAACTTAATGAAGAAATAAGAAAATTGCCAAGATCGTTCATAATTTGTCAAATACTTAGTGTAATGATAACATACTTTTACATTTTATTCAAAGATTTTTTTTAAATTTTCCGAGTCGGTATAATATTATGTGAAGCAGACCATGGGTTAACTGTTAGTTATCGAATTAATAATCCGGAGGACAGATTTGAAACGAATCGAAAATTAATTGTATTAAACTTAATTTAGAAGTAAGAAATGCTATATTAGAATTTAACGATTTTTTTTAATATAGACTAGATGAAAATTGATAAATACAAAAATGTCTTAGAATTAGTCAAGGATCACTCTTAAATTTTTTTTAAATATTTTTTTTATTTTCGAAATTTCAGTTTTGTAAATTTTCGAGAAATCAAAAATTATTTCAAAATCGTTTGAAAAAATCCGTGACCGATTTGAAGACATTTTTGTTCTTATACACTTTTTACTAACGTCTATAGTTTCCAAGAAAAAAATTCATCAAGTTTCGAAAAAAAATTTTGTGTTTTGCTATTTCTGCTATTTCTTTATTCACTGATAGATCGCAGTTAAAGCAAATTCTAGTGTCATTTTGAATATTTTGGAAAGGTAAATCAAACAATTACGCCTACTGCAATCTCACGTTCATTCACGTCGTCTCTTAAACGGCGTATTTGACGCACATTATTATTTAGATTGCAAAAATAGCATTTCTGTCTTGTTACCATGATGGATTCTCAGTAAATATCATAAAAAAAGACTATTATTACGCACACCCTGATATGAAATCATGCTATACTTTGGAAAACGTCTATCCTGAAAATGACTGTTGAAAATTAAGCACTAAAGTTCTACACGTATCCAATAATAAAGTCTCTATAGCTATCCTAAAAATAAGAGCTATTAAGCACACTCTGAAGTTGTGAAATCATAGAACATCTGAGATAATTACGATTTTGAAAAGGACAGTAATTCTAGAAATATAGGAGAAAAACTTTTGATGAATTCCAACTAGCCTGAAAAGGGCGGAGATAAAGTTGGCTGTATCTAATTGACATTCTAATTGTGAATACGTCACATTGATTACATTTTAAGATCGTCTCACATGTAAGAATTTCATTTAATACAAAAAGTAATCAATTTTTTTTATATTAAGTATTTCACCCGATTACAGTAATTGATGGTTGGGTATCACATCCCACCTTACCTCAATAAGTTGGTGTCACACACTATCATGCCTTAACTGGTTAGCTATCACACACCAGCTTGTCTTAACTATTTTCGGGACTTGGGAGATCTGGAGTTGACTTTGAGAAGTTGCACTCATGGGCCTCTTTTTAATCTGTTGAAATCTATCTCTATGCGAAGTTTCAGATAAATATATCCTTTCTACATTGATTCCTATAGTAATGTAGTTTAGGGTGTATTTTGGGTCGGGGGAGATGAGCCCAGTGGGACTTTCAATCAGTATGTTGAGTGCTACCTCTATACAAAATTTCAGCGAATCTAACCGAGGACATAACTCCATAAAGTTTGT